GTGAGTTCAAGGCAGCCTGAACTACATAGTGAGACCTCATCAAAAAAAGAAAGAAAAGAAAGAAAGAAAGAAAGAAAGTGGACACTTCAAAGAGACATATAACCTGTGAGGATGCATCCAGCGAACAAGCAGCTCCCACAAACTCACTGACAGCTGATCGAGGAGGCAGAGTTGAGCATATAGGGCCTGGCCTTCTTTCCAGTTGGCCACTCAGTAATGCTTTATCTTTTTTTTTTTTCCAGTACCAGGGATCGAACTCAGGACCTTGCACTTGCCGGAAAGGCATAGTACCACTGAGCTACATCCCTGGCTCAAGCTTTATCTTTTTGCAAAAACTCATTGTCACAGTATCAACTTCCATGTATGTCTGAGATCGAGCCCTTGCCCAACAACATATTCACAGATGCTATGAACATCTTTGTAGAAAACTAACTCTATAAAAAAGTTACTAGAACAATTAAAATTGTTTAACAAGGTTGCATGATACAAAATCAATATATACACATCAATGGCATTGCAGAATGCTAGCAACAAACACTTGCAAGTTAACAATTGTAAAATTGTGGGCAAGGGATTTAGCTCAGTGGTTCCACTGCCTGCCTTAGAAGCGCAAGGACCCGAGTTCAGTCCTCAACTCTGCATCCGGGCCAGACTAGCCTCACCAGGTGCTAGGCCTGGCATACTTGGCCTGCAAAGTCTCTTTCACCCTGCAGGCTCACACCTGAGCCTGCTGGTCTGTGGCCCACAGCACCTGGCATTGCGAGAGGCTGGGCAAGCAATCAGCATGGGGGCCTTAAGGTTGCCCATCTTAGAAGGGAGAGGAGTCAGGCTCCCCTCTTTGACCAAAAAAAAATTGTAAAATTGCAGTAACACTAATATATATGAGATGCTTGGAGACAAACAAAAGTTGTGCAAGACTGGTACTGAAAATTATAAAATGGTGCTGAGAATTTAAAGAAACCTAAATAAATGCAGACATATAGCATGTTCACAAGACAGCTATCTGTTCTTCCTAACTTGATCTATTGATAAGAACACAGCGCCAGTCAAAATGTCCAAAGGGTTTTTGTTTGGGGTTTATTTTTTGTGGTAGAAATTGACGCTTCTAAATTTTATATGAAAATGTGGAAAACCTAAAATAGCCAAAATAAACTTTGCAAAAGAACAAAGTTGGAGAAGAAACAATGCCTGAATTCAACACTTATTCAAAAGCTACCATAATCAAGGCTGTGGAACTGGCACAAAGCTCAATGATTAAGAACAGTCCAGACATGAACGCACATACATATAGGCAACAGATTGTCAACAAAAGTTCAAAAGCATTTGTGAAGATAGGACGGTCTTTTCAATGAGTGTTATTGGAGCCATTGCATATCCACTTTTTAAAAAAGACCACTGACTTTTCAATTTTGCAATCTGATGGATGTAATGAGTTATATTGTTAATTTGGTTAGTATATTTTGGAAAATCTTTTTGCCCACTTGACTATTGGGTTATCATTTTGTTGTGATTTATAGGCATGTTTTTTTCATTATAAATAGTGATATTGTAAGGACCTTCTAGTTATTTGTCTTATCTTTGTTAAACCAGATTTTAAGTAGAATTTTTCCAGATGATGCAGAATTGGTTTCAAGGATCTAAAGCCAAAGAATCAGATGCAGCAAGTAAGCCATATTCTACAGAAAGCTGTAAATGGGTACAATCAGACCCTCAGGACTGTTTTTGAAAAGAGCTTCCATAAATATTTGCATACAGGTCTCTGCCTGAATAGATTTTCACTTCAGTGGATGTATGGCTACAATTCAGTCATAATTTGATTAATTTGGAGTTGCATGCCAAACCACTGTTTCCCTGGTAAATACAGTAATTCGATTTACAATGTAAACATCTTCTAAACTATTTCTTACCTTCAAACAAATTAAATTATTAAGCATCTTTCAGCATCAGCCCCACTTAGGTCAGGACTTCACCCATTAGTCAATGATTCGAGCAATTTCTTAGCTGAATCATTTAATAGCTTTTGAATGGAGTGTTTCCTCAGTTACTTCTTATGCTGTTCACAATGTACAAGTTGTGATTAAAATACACAGTGAATGTGTAAATTTTAAATTTTTATTACAGAGACACACTATCATTAAGCCCCCTCAAAGCACCCTCACAATGGACATACTTATTCCATTGATCTTGCTAATGCAGAAGTTTTAAACTTTTAGGTCTTCAGGCCTTAAGAATTCTCCTAAGCCCTTATTTTGTTCCTGTTTACTCAGATACAGGCAGATCCACAACTGCTCCCAACGAGTGACACTTTCTATAATCACAGTGTAAGCCACCTCCATACGCACACACACACACACACACACACACACACATTTTTAGTATTCACAATATATAGTTACGTCCTCTCTGTTAGCCTTGAAAACGGATCCAGTTGGCTTCAGTGTTCACAATACATATCCTGCTGTGTTACGCTGTATGAACATCCTGTTCCTAGACAGCCCCACCCTCAAGGCTGTTACATAGTCGCTCATCCCAAGCCCACCCCAACTTAAACTACTGCATAAAACTCCCCCATTTTTAACTTTCATTAATTTTATTGGTACATTTAATGGATAAAATATAATGACATTCATTGTTGGAACTTTGTAACTTTACATAATCAATCTTGGTTCTATTTTCCCATTCCCCTGCCCTCCCTTCAACCCCTCCCTCCCTCCCAATCTACACCTGTTTCCATTGTTTTTCATTTTCTCATATTGATTCCATTCCCTTCTTTCCTTTCCACCCCTCCTGTGTCCCTTTCCTCTTTGTTCCTTTTCTTCCTATTTCACATTATCTATTTTACCTTTTAGTCCTTATTTACACTTTGTTTCTCTCACTAAAGAAACTATTCAGGGGGAGTTGGGGCGGGTTATAAAAAACTATTCAGTATTTACACCTGTCCTATGTATATCACTTAAGAGCATCACTTCAGTGTGCATCCATTTAGCTACGAATGTCTCTAATTTCTCAATTTTTATGGCTGAGTAGTACTCCATTTTATATTTTTCACACACATACACACATACACACATTTCCTTTAACCAGTCTCCAGTTGATAGACAATTGGGCTGCTTCCAATTAGCTATTACAAATTGTGCTGTTATGAACACGGGTGCACATCTATCACTATGGTGTGTTTCTCACCATGCACTAAACTAAAATCAAAATGGATTAAATATTAAAACAGAAATACTAAATCGGCTGGGAGAGGTTAGGTAGACCTCTTGAAGACACTGATGTAGGAAGATTTTATGAACAAAACCTCAGTTGCCCATGAGCTAGCACCAACAATGAACAAGAGTTCTTATTAAAAAGCTTCTGCAGAGCAAAAGAAACGACCTACAGTGTAGAGAGACAACCCACAATGTGGGAAAAAATTTTCACCAGCTGTTCCTCAAACAAATGTCTACTATCTAGAATATATAAAGAACTTTTTAAAAAATCAGACCTCCCAAATTTAAAGACGCAGTCTAAAAATGGGTATCTGAAGTGAACAGACATTTCTCGGAAAAAAAGTAGAAATGTCAAATAAGCATATAAAAAAATGTTCAGCATCACTGGTCATTCGAGACACGCAAATGAAAACAACACTGAGATTCCACCTCACCCCAAAAAGAATGGCTGCCATCACAAAATCAACCAACAGCAAATGCTGGCAGGGCTGTGGGGAAAGAGGAACCCTGCTCCACTGCTGGTGGGAGTGTAGACTGTGCAACCCCTGTGGAAGTCAGTATGGAGAGACCTCAAAGAATTAGGATTGGAGGCCCCTTTTGACCCAGCTATTCCCCGGCTGGGTATCTTCCATAAATA